ACTCATCTAATCAGCAAGTGTTGTTAGGTTGAGAGGGTTGGGTACAATGAGTTTGCAGTTTTTGCCATTTCATGAAACACCTTTTTTTAAAATTTCAAAATAAATTATATGTATGGTGGGAAGAAAGATCAAACTCACTTTATAATGCTTAAAAATTGGATATTACCAGTGAATTTTTCACAACATACATTTAATTACACTAGTTAATTATTACATTAATACATTACACATACAATTACATTAATTACATTAGTTTTTAGTTGAAATCATGAATATCTCAGTTTCCTCAAAAATTGTGCTTATGTGCATTGTCCCCACAGCTCATGCGTTCTTTAAGACTTCAATTTTGTTGCACAAAATGTTATAATGAAATGGAAAGCTAGAATTTTGCAGATTTTTTGTAATTCACTCAAAAATTCGTTTGGTTTGTTTGAAAAATGGAGACTAAAGCTAATTTTTTGTTATATTTTGTGCTGAACCGTTGCCGGATATGCACGGACGTAAATGAGGAATACTGCATAGACGAGTAAGTGAAACATTTTTTTAAAAGCTTCTTTGGAAATTGCATATTTTAAAACGAAAATTATCTCAAGCAAAATTATAACCATTTAAGAAATAGGAAATAGCTAAAAAGATCTTACATTCAATGGTACAAGAATGAGCTGAGCAGTTGAGCGTTTTAACCAATTTCTATCCCTCGTTGTAAAATGAATTGTGTATTTTTGCGACTTGCAAACCCTGCTTCGTTCCTATCTCTATCTAAAATCTGCTGTCGAAAACAAATTGTACTTTAGAGAAACCTTTTTTCAAACTTCCATTGTGTATTCTCTCTTTTAGAGTGCTTTCCAACTAATACGCCACAAAGACCCACCGATTCTTTGGCATGAATAGCCGAGTTTCTTTTTACAAGGCAAATTCCCGAGACAGTTGATCATGGGTAGTAATGCCAGTTTTTCTTTCTTTCCTCCACTTTGCAAATTCACTTCACTTTTTCTTTGTCCATTCTTCAATGTTTTGTACTTCTCTTTTTGTTATCTCTGCTCTAGGTGTTAATGACCCAGTTTTGCTAAAATACCTAAAAAATGTATAAAACAACAACACTAACAATTGATTCTTATTCTGTCTTTTCTCATCTGCACGAATTTTAGAAGAAAAAAATTCTTGCGCGAAATTTTTCATAGCAATTTATTTTTGAAAACGCACCCGGTAAGCTGCGCTTCTGATGAGCAAGAAGCAAGGCAAGCAACAGCAGAGCGCCTTCAAGTTTTCACATATGCAGCACGGACATCCATCGAGCCTGAATAGTTGCATCCAAGCCTTGGCACCAGTAGCATTAGTTTCAACGCCCGAAAGAGCTCTGCTCTGCGGAGGAAAAACGCCGTATGAGCCCTCTGGCGTTGCCAAACTTCCTCCGATAAAACCCCAAATTTACTAGGAAAATCCTGAGTAATTTTCCTCAATTTTTCAGACGACTTTGTTCTTAATTTAATCTAATTTATCTGTGAATTTCAAGGAAAAATTCAGAAAAATTGATCCATGTTCAAGGAGAATTTCAAGGATTTTCTTCAAAAATGCATGTTTTATCCGGGAAAATTCGGTAACTCTTCAGTGTGCATAAGGCGTTCTTCCTTAGCACGGCAGAGCTCTTGCATGCCTCGAGAGATTTGCCATTTAAGTGCTTTTCCTGAGAAAAATGTTGCGACAAGCACGGCGATGCCGCTAGTCTCATAAGATAAACTGGACTACATTTTGCAATTAGGAACTATAAATTCCGGCCCGGTTTAAAAAAAAAAAAAACGTATGTGCCATTAGTTTCCCTATGCAAATAAGTGTTTTTTCAGATAAGCCAGAATTTATAGGTCCAAATTGAGGACACCGCACCAAGAAGAGCCTATAAGCGTATAGGTCGTTATTACGCCCATCTGCTTTTCGGATTCTACGTACCTTGGACTATGCTGTGGTAGCGATAGAATATAGATAGGTAACGGCTCGAGGTCGAAAAACCTTTTTTTTCCGAGTTAAGCCAGGCCTCTGGATCGATGGGTGCAAGAATGACCCATAAACGGGCCTATAAGGTGCTAGTTATCCCTTCCTTTACTCACTATCGATATTCTTTCATTTTGCGTTAATCATAAGTGATTAAAATTATTTATAGTTCATATTGCCACCAAAATGACTGTTGGGCGTGATAATGGCCGATAAACCGCTATTTTAAATTAAATATATGAGAGTATAAACCCAAAATGTATCGCAAAATCTACCCGGTGTCCTTCAATAGAAGGGTAAGGTCACCCAAAAACACCAAAACAGGGTACCTACATAGAAAAGTCTGCGCAGTCTATCAAAAAAAAAACTTTAAATGCGTTTTTCTCAAAACGCGCGCGGTTTCCATACACGCTGGGCTTGTCGATTTCCTTTGACATTTTAGTAGTCGTGAATGCGTAGCTGAAGTGCGCTCCAGATAGAAGTGTATTCAGCAAATGAGTAGTTTCTATAGCCCAAGTAGCATGGATTGCAATTTCATTGCAATGGATTGTGAGTTGATTGCAATTTTTGCTTGTTGCCTATACGTTCATTTGAAGGCGCTTAAAAAGTTGCAATTTTATTGCAATAAGTTTGCAAGAAATGTAGATTATGCTTGTTGCCTAACCTTCTTTTTCAAGGTACTATAAAGACTGCAATTTCGGTGCAATCATGTTGTAACAAATTCACGCCATGTGCCTGGCATCCAATTCTCTAGTTGTTTTAAAGTTTTTTCGACTTAAATGTCTCACCTAACCCTTATAGCCCAACATATTTTGAAAATATTGTCACCTTTATCAAAATATTTTCATGGCAATATTGTAATTAAAATATTTTCAAAATATTTTTAAAACATTTTAAAGGAATATTTTGAAAATGATTACAAAAAATATTTTGAAAATGATTACAAAAAATATTTTTAAAATAATTCAAAAATATTGCCTGTAAACATGCATGTTAAAAATATTCCTTAAGAAAGTTTTGAAAATATTTTAAAAATATTTTTTGAAAATATTTTTAAGTTCTCAAGTTAGTATGTGGTGTAATTTACACCGGTGTAAATTTAGTGTGAGTACCTATTACATGATATCGAAAAAAAAAATCAGACAAAAAAAATATGAAAAAAATAAATAACACGAAAAAAAATAAATAATAGGCAAAAGAAAGAAGCCTGAGAAAAACGGCGTTATTCAAATCTATGATGAATGTTGAGCCACGCACTGACGCAATGCATGCGATAACAGCCTTAAGAGGCGTGATTTCAACCCAACTCATCAACAGCTCCCTGTAGCTCAGTGGAAAAGTGCTCCGCTTAGAAATACGCAGGTCGGGTTCAAGCCCACTCTAGGGCGTCCGGTATTTTATGCTGCTAAACGTCGTAGGACATTAGGTAAGCATGGGTTCGAATTATTATAATTTCCCCGGAAAATTTAGGGGTTGAAATTTAAAGGTCGTCAATATTGAAATTTCTTTGCAAAAAAAAAAATTGCAACTTTTTTACAATGAGGGGGTCAGATGTTGTAAAATAATTGCAATTTTCTTGCAAGAAAGTTGAAATCATCTGGAAATTTTATTGCATTTAAATTGCAATTTTTTCGTTGCAAAATGCTACTTGGGTAGGAGGATTGAAAACAAACAAATGGTAGGAAATAAAACATAATAATAAGAACTTTGCAAAACGATAATCCGGGTATCGGAACTTGGCTGTTTTGAAAACGCCTTCAAATGCGGCGTGATACCTCACGCATTCCGGAGAGTTCAAATAGTTGTATCATTGCGCCTTAGAATTGTGATGGAAGATTACAATTGAAATAGCCTCCATACACGCTGGGCTTGTCAATTTCCTTTGACATTTTTGCAGTGGTGAATGCATAGCTGAAGTGCGCTCAAGATAGAATTGTATTAAGCAAATGGGTGGTTTTTATACGAGGATTAAAAATAAACAAGTGCTACGGAACAAAACAAAAGAATATGAACTATGCAAAACGATAATCCGGATATCGGAACTTGGCTGTCTTGAAAACGCCTTCAAATGCGGCGTGATACCTCACGCATTCCGGAGAGATCAAATAGTTGTATCATTGCGCCTTAGAATTGTGACGGAAGATTACAATTGAAACAATTACAAAAACAAAACATTAAATGCGTTTTTCTCAAAACGCGGTTTCCAGTTATAGGCTGTTCTTGGTGCGGTGTCTTCAATTGCAAAATGCAGTCCAACTCATCCTGAGCTCCAAAAAAGCTCTGAAAGTTGAGGCCACGATTAATGAGATCACCGGCGTTATCCCTAATGCGCAATAGACCCATTCTGCCCTGGTAAGGAAAAATTTCATGTGAATATCAGAGTTGCCAAATTTCTCTGGATAAGACATGCATTTCTTATGAAAGTTATGCACATTTTTCCATAAAAATTTCAGATATTTTAGATTAAATTGCGGTAAAATGGTCCGAAACATTTTAAGAAAAATATTCACCATGGACCGCGTCAAGCAGAAAGGAACTAAGCCAAATCAGATATTGCCAAATTTAACCAAGTAATTTAATTTTGTTTATGATTGCGGCTGTGCAGATTTTTGTGCAAATTTCAGTGAATTTTTTGCATTGTACGTAGCAAATTCCTTAAAATTTTCAAGAGAATCCGTACAAACTTTCTCTTGTAGAAAATTAAACTGCCTCTAAAGGCAGCGGCTGATGTGGGTCGGTTCAGTTCCGCTTAATAACGCGGTCCAATTCTCCCGGTGAATTTGGCTTTTATCGAAAGAAATTCGGCAACTCTCGAATGTTCATACGGGTTTTTCCCAGGACGGCAGCATTCGTCTAAAATCTCCTATAACTAGCAATCCGTGCGAAGAATAAAGCCCGATATCACGGAGAAATCCGCTTGATTCGCAGTACGAACAGTCCAAAAACATTTCTGAGCTTTGACTGCTAAAATCAAAACATCCAGACGCGAAGAAACATCCAGCGCTGACCCCAGCAAAATTCCGCGCCTCAACTCTAAACAATCTCCACAGAGGTGAAAAAGCTCTGAAAAGTAGCCCCGGTATAAATTAACGGCGACCTGGATCGCGGCTGCAATTTCCTTATCGTTCGACTGTGAGATCCGCGACGCTCCAGCAGAGATGTCTTACGCCGTGTTCGCTGTCTTGGCCTGCGTGGGCATGGCCCTCGCCGAAATCCCGTTGGACTACCCGGAGGCCGACTACAGGACCCCGTATACTTCTTCCTACTCGTACCCTCTCAGCACATCTTACTCGTCGTACTCCTACCCGGTTTCGAGCTACTCCTCTTACTCGTCGTACCCTGCTTACAACGACGGACGGATCTACTCTACCAGCTACTACCCGGCTTCATCTTACTCCTACTCGTCCTACTCCATCGGGAAACACGCCGGATCCCACAGCCCTTGCGCCGCCCCGGTCCCAGAGATCAAGCCTGTCACCGTCCAGTCCCAGCACCCAGTCCCGTACACCTTCGGGCTCCCTCTCACCCCTAAGGTAAGACATTTTTATTTACTTGCAATACTCACACTGGAAAAAAAACACATTGGATCTAGAGTCCAGACTCTTTAAAACATTGACAAGAAAAAATACTCTTGATTCAATCAGATTTTTGCTTAAATCAAAAGGAAATCCGCTCAAATTAAGAGGTTTGGTTCTTGGTTTAAGCTTAAATCTGATTGAATCAAGAGTATTTTTTCTTGTCGATGTTTTTAAGAGTCCGGACTCTAGATACAATGTGTTTTTTTTTCCAGTGTAAAGTTAAAAACACCTAAATCAATGGGCCAGTTGCGCTGGTCACAGAAATGTGTTTTGATGCTTGATTCTTGAAGATTAGCTAAAAATAATAATATCTGTCCGAACTGCAACTTTCTTCGTTCAATATTAAACGAGATCTCGCGCTTTTGAAAAACTCGATTTATGGCGTCACCCACCGCGGTAATATATACCATGTTATGCACTACCGCGGTGGATGACGTCAAAACCCCGACTTTTCAAAGGACGATATCTCTGTTAATATTTAACGTAAGTTGCTGTTTGGACAGATCTTTTTATTTTTAGCTAATCTACAAGAATCAAGCATTAAAACATGATTCTGTAACCAGCGCAACTGGTTCATTGGACCGCGTTTAGCAGAGAGAAACCAAGCCACGCCAGCTATTGCCAAGTTTAACTGGGTAATGTAATTTTTTTTTTACAAGAGAACGCTTGTGCGTATTCCTGTGACAATTTTGAGAAATTTGCAGGATTTTTGTAGGATTTTTTTTGACGAATTCATTGATATTTACACAAAAATCCGCACAGCCGTTTTCATGTAAAAAATTAAATTGTCTAATCAAATTTTGCAATATTTGATGTGGCTTGGTTCCTCTTTGCTTAACTCGGTCCAATTGCTACGTTCTAAATTGTCCACTGTTGTTTCCTTTCTAACATAAATCACCTCTTTTTTCCTCTATTTTTATAGTCATCATCTCTTTTACCAACGCATTTTAAAGCAATTAAAAAAAAAAAAAAAAAAAAAAAAAAAAAAAAAAAAAAAAAAAAACTCGTGCAGCCAGAAACTCCTCATAATAACGTGTTAAAATTTATGCTTATGAATTATACTTTTGGAAACTCTCCTTGAAAATTTTTTAATATAAAATTTACAGAAGGTAAAATTTGAGTTGAAAAGTGTTGATAAGATTCTGAAAATATCTATTTTAGTTTTTAAAGCTTACGATGCTTGAAAAAAATGTTAAAAAACTCTTGAAAGTGAATAGTAGCTTTCTTAATTTTTTTTCTACGTTCATTTTACCTGACGCCTATTACCTATACTTTGAAAATATCCAAAAAGGGTTTCTTAAAGCATAATTTTTATCATATTTCTTAATATTTCTTGAAAAGTGATTTTTGAACGTTTGATGTTACGTACGGAAACACTGTAATGACCACATAGGTATTGATAATAATCTAGAAAAACGCGTAGTTTAATTATTTAAGCTTGGAAAGTTCCGTTCCGATCTTACATTCCAAAAGAATTTGAAGTGAAAATTTTAATGGGATTTTCAGAGTTGAAATTTGGGAAGGTATAAGTAGTTGAATTACATCAAACTTTTTACAAGGTAAAATTTTGTGGGATAGAGAAATAATCCGAACTTCTCCGCTTCCATTGCAAATGGGGTCATAAATGAAGTTTCAATTAAAGCATTTTCACTTTTTTTTTAAAATTCATTCTTCCGAGTACAGCCAGTGCCAGTCTCTAAGTAATACATTAAAAATGTGTAAAGTTACAATACAGGTTTACTCTCACAGCGTCAATTCAAACTGTTTAACGTCACGGAGCTCTGTGTAATTTTTCAACTTTAAACCCGTTAAATTCAATGTCCCTAAAAATGTCACATAGCGCGTTCATACAATCTACCTTTTTTTTCAAAGTGACTTTGTACTTAAAGAGAGCAGAGCATGAACATTTTAAGTGCTATTTTTTTTTAAATCACAGAAAAAAAAGGTTTTGAGTTGAAAAATTACACGAGACCCTACCTATGGCTTGTAAAAAAGTAGAGCTGTTGTTGCGTTGCGAGACTGAAAATAGACAGAAACTTTCGATTTTTTACGAAACACACTTGGAGGCTAACTCTACCAGAAATAATATCAGCAGCTCAATTTTTCAAACTTGTCGAGCGCACACATTTTCAAGCCGTGGACCATGAAAAGTGACATATAAAATGCTTTTATTAAGAACCTTCAGACGAATTGTTAAAAATTATTTTTCAGGAAATCCTCTTTGGATAGTTTTTGAAATAAAATGTACGCCTGGTAAAATTTACGTAACAAAGTCTTCAACAGGTATTCCTACATTTTAACGAGTTTCAAACACTTCGTTTCACTCGAATTTCATCTGTCGAAAATGTTACTTAAAAAATTATCAAGGAGGGTTTCCTGAAACATGAATTTCAATAGCTTTACCAAGATATCGACGGTGAAACTACCAAACCACGTATCTCGTTTGCGGTGTTTAAAAATCTCCGCTCACATTTTATTTTTTTGAAGTAGACCAAATCCATTTCATTCCTTGAAATTTTCACGGAATTTTCTCCGCACAAAGAGGAAAAATCACAGAAATTTTCAAGACTGGATGTTAAGTAGTTTTTCATTTAAAAAATAAAGTATGACAGGAAGTCTGCGACGCCGCAAACCGAGATACGTGGTTTGGTAGTTTCACCGTCGATATGTCTTTTTAAAATCTACGAGTTTTTTCAAGTCTCTTTAACAGTCGCTCAGTAGAACGAGCCTTTAAGAGAGGTCGGACGTGACATTTTTTACATACCCAAACTGAAAATTTTCATGTTAATGTTGTCTTATCACAAATTTTAAGGGGCGTTCCTGAAAAAAAAATTTACAAGAAAACCAATGGAACCAATTTTAATCATCTACATTCTGTTTTAAGGCGATTCGATGGACGCCATATTTTGTGTCAGAACGACGTGTGATATGCCGCATCGGTTGGTCCCATTTTTTCAGCCATGCACTCGTAATTTCTCTCGCATATTGAGATCGCAATTCTGTTGCCAGGAGGCTAAAGAATTCACTTACCAATTTTGACGACCAAATTTAACGCATTAAAGGCGTGGTTTTTTCAGAGGAAAAATATCGCATTCGAGTGCAGTCTCGATATCAGCGTCGAATGCGATATTTTTCCTCCCCTCCCCCCCCCCAAAAAAAAACCACGGCATTAAAACGTTGAATTTGTTTGTTAAAATTGGTATTTAAGTGAATTCTTTAGTCTCCGGGCGACAAAATTGTGATCTCAAAATTCGAGAAGAATGACGAGTAGTTGAAAAAATGGAACCAATCGATGCGATATATCGCATGGCGTTCTGACACAAAATATGGCGTTCATAGAATCACCTTAACGAAACTGAAGCTTTCGCAGTTTCCACATCAAATCCGACTCCCTCCTCTGACTAACTCAGAGGCGGATCCAGCGATTTGGCAACACCGGACTTCCTGCATTTAAACCTGTGTTAAATAATCGATTCTTGTCGGGGCACCTGGCCCCTCCAAGAATCGATACATTTCCATAGGTATAAATGGAGAAAAACAATGTTGCCAATTTGCTGTAACCGCCGATGGACTAACTCTGCTGCGAGTCGCTGCTACCAGGGTTGATATGTCTCTTTCTTATTTTTATCTGACATTTTCGTTTTCATTCACTTTCCAGGTGCTTGAACACCACTCAGCCCCGCAAATGATCAACTACTATGCCCAGCCGTACGTTGTGAAACACCACCAGAGCGCAGTCCTCCACGCCTACACTCAGAAACCTGTGATCGTCGACAACTACGAGCATCCTCAAGTTCATGAGCTTGAAGGACCCCAAGCCGTCATCGTCGAAGAAGTCTGCCCCCCAGGACACGGCGCTGCCATCTCCCCCGTCTCCGCCCATCCTTGCAAATAATTTCGAAATTCCCTCCTTTGTGAGTAATTGACCACAAGTGTATAAAGTCGTTGTCTTGTTAATGTTCCTCAGATCTGAATACAACTGTTATTGTTTTCAATAAGACTTTCGATTTTTACCTCTTAGAATTACCTCATCCAAACCACCCTCTTTACCCTAGTAGCAGCAACAATTAAACATTTTTTTAAAAACTTCGCAAGTTTTAAAAAGACATATCTTGAAAAAATGTAAAATTATCGTTTTAGGAAAACCTTTTTTGGGTATTTTTAAAATAAAATTTACAAGAGCTAAAATTTTAGTTCAAGTGTTAAGAAATACCTAAAATATCAATTGCAATTTTTCAACACTTAAAATGTTTGAAAACAGGTTGAAAAACTCATTAAAAATAAAGGTTGTCATTTTTTAAAGACTTTCTTGAATTTTCAGTAGAGTTACATTTTACTTAAAGAACAACCAAAAAAAAATTTTTAAACGAAATTTTTGACGGGGTTTTTCAATGAGTCTTTGAAAAATGGATTTAGAAGATCATATTGCTACTAAAGGTAGATCCATTCGTTGATACGATGCATTCTGGTCTTGGTCGATATTTTTCAAATTTTATTAGATAAATTAGCTTAGAAAAATCTCAATTTCGGTCTCCAGGTCAATCATTTGGAGACGTTCCAGGAGAGTAAAACACCCTCCAAAATCTCAAGATAATGTAAATCTCAAGAGATAAGTATAGATACTGTTCCCAACTTGCAATCGATTTTAATGAATCAATATTGATGGATATCCAAAAACAGTACCTAATTTTTTGCTTCATCATAAGATTTTAGAAGATGATTTTTGGCACAAACATTATTTCATGATTGAATCCAGAGACTATAAAATTCAAATTTTTCCAACCCTTCTTATGGTTGAAATTTGAAATATATCGATCGGGCCTGCGAAATGCACTTGCGTCAAAGCTGAAAATCCAGCTTAATCTCAAAATTAAAAAAAAAAAAACAACAAAAAACGATGGTATGTTATATACGAACTTCCTCTATATATAATCAACTCCACATCTTTAAAAAAAACTAACTAAAGTTTACAATAGAGGGGCCGACATTCTGTGTACCTAATATGAGGATTCAACTCTATTTCAATCACTCCGAGATACAAAGATGGAGCTGAAAATGAATACATTTGCAGGATTGCTAGTTTTGAAGCAAATATCAAGTTCCAAGATGATTATTTTTAGTCAGCAGTCATCGAATTATGTCGATCAAATCAATCCCGGACTATACATGCAGCCCCGGCAAATTCCAGAAAATTACTCTAATAATGAATTGAGCAAGTACTTACGTAACAAACTCATAATATGTACATAGCGAAGCATCTAGATCGGCCGTGATTCCATGCAGTAACGAAATTTTCACCAGTAGGTAGAGGTGTAACCAAAGCAGGTATAAAAATATAGCCTACATCAATATTTAAAGCGTTTCCTGTAAAATACCTAATGTTAGCAGCTACGAAATACGGCGCAGAGATGCATGATTTGGAACTAGGGACTGACACCGGGAACGGAGGTACGTGTTTTTGGAATCAGCGATTTTAACCTGTTACCTCTCCAGTTTAAACCATAATTACAGTCAACGGTGAATAAAACATGAAAAATGAATCGATTGCGTGTTTTAGGAGTTACAATGTATGATGCGCCTTCACTTTAGCACGTATGCAATCTCTCGTACCTTGTCCGCTCTGGCGCTCTCGCCTCGGAAATCAAAGGCAAGATATTCGTCCTTTCCCTCCCGAAAGAACGTAACTCCATTTAAATATTGCCAATTTTTTTTCGTAAATTGCATTTTTATCTAAAGAATCTTAGGCATTTTTAACTGAAAATTTCATTGATTTTTTTCCTTTGAAATCGTACATAAATCAGATAAATTTTGGACAAAAATTGCACAGGTACATTCTCATGGCCGGAAATACGGAGGGGGGCCCGGCTCCTCCCAAAAAATGTCAAGGACCCATGCTACTGATTAATCTTGAGGTAAAAGGCATAGAGAATGTAATGAATATGAGCTTAATCCTAATATAATCGATCAAAGATGTCAGAGTTTTATTGTCGAAATTTAAATGCGTTTCTCCAACAGGTAAAAAACAATTTTAACGAACCGCTTCAGCAATTATCCGGTGGGAAAGGCTCTTCCTCACAAAAAAGGTCCAAACCCCCTTTGACTCCGTTCTCTTTTTCTTACCCATCGTCGTCAGAATATCAGTGTCGAAGACTAAGATAAGAAACTGCTAAATTGCCTTCAATAGACAAGATAGGCAAAAGCGGATTCTTAGGAGCCGCAATAGTTGTATTCAAATATTTACATCAACACGTGGATAGATACCCAGCATCCTCAGCGAACCATCCTGCCAACAGCCAATCAACAAAACAGAAATATCAATCAGCTACTCCACTGAAATGAGCTACATAGTTACCTACAAAGTTGATGTCGGATGTTTTCGGAACAGATAGTATTCTAAAAGATCCGGAACCATCATAAAACAGCGCAATTCGTTCCGGGGTCACTTTTTACCATTAATTTACCCGTTTGAATTCCTCTATTATTACGAATCACTGAAATAACCTTTTTTGAGCAAAATGGCGGGGAGGAAAGGGCGAGCGAGATCCGTCGAGATCAGGTAATGGCTGGGGGAGAGGTAGATAATGAGTAAGGGATGCGGAGAGGGCGAGGGAGGATAGATGGGAGGGGCGGAAGGGGGTGGGAAGGGAGTGAAGGAGCGGGAGGGTAAGGGTATCGAAAGGGAGGAGTGAAGGGTACAGAGGCGAGGGAGGAGAAGGAGGTGAGTGAGGGAGGAAGGGAAGAAGGAGCGATGGGAGGACGGGAGTATTGCTTCATCAATTTATCTACTATTTTTTTTCAGAATTGATTCCAAGCACCCTCCCCGGAAAATTTCAGGAAAATCAAAGTGGGAAATGAGGAGCGAAGTTATCTATTTCCTCCATCATCGAACCTTCGCGAGTCGCGTAAATTCGGAGCACGCTCTAACGTTTCCACAAATTTATTCATCTGATTTGATTTCATCTTATACTGAGTGTACACTCCCAGGACCATCCTCGAAAAATTTAGAAAAAATCCAAGGTGGAAGTCTGGAGCGATGTTGATGAAATTCTCCTTCACCCATACAAATCGAGTCGCGGATATTCCGACCCGGCCCTAACGTTTCCACAATTTTAATTGTTCATCCGATTTGATTCATCTTATATTGAGTATACACTCCCAGGACCATCCTCGAAAAATTTAGAGAAAATCCAAGGTGGAAGTCTGGAGCAATGTTGATGAAATTCCCATATGAGTCGAGTCGCGGATATTCCGACCAGGCCCTAACGTCTCCACAATTTTATTTGTCCATCTGATTTGATTAATCTTATATTGAGTATTCACTCCGAGGACCATCCTCGAAAAAATTAGACAAAATCCAAGTTGGAAGGCTGGAGCAATATTGATGAAATTCCCCGTCATCCATATGAGTCGAGTCGCGGATATTCCGACCAGGCCCTAACGTTTCCACAATTTTATTTG